CAAGATTCATAGACTCTCGCTAAATAATTTAATATCGCCTCCTTTATGTGAACAACTTTCGGTTTTGGTGTCTGGACGCTGAGTTGGGTAGTAACGTACCAATCTAGGTGGCTTGGTCATGTGACCACACAAGGCTGTGACGCATTTCGTGGGGACCAATGTCTGTTCTCACACACATGTTCCACACAAGCACCCGTCAAACGAACACGCCGACACATGGCTTGTTGCAGCGGCCACGAGTGGTGTAGCAACCGATACGTTGTGGAGGAGGTGGATGTCCGGAGGTCTCTCACGTCACTACATATCTGGAGTGTCGTCACTACAACATTCGTTGCCTTTCCTATGGAGCTACATTGGTGTTGGGCGTGCTGGAGATGAGTCTCGAACGGAACAATAAGCATTTACGCACACTTTCAAAGTGAATGAAAACATATTCTAACCACTTTTTGTGTCTGCAGACCATTCGTGCGGAGTGTCCCTGCATATCCGCAACAGGCTTGTTAGAGCCTGAAAATTTGACGGCACCACTCTTTTAATTAGGAAACTTGTCACAACGCTCACATGATCATGCTTAAGCTTGTAAATTGTTACATTACATTGATTTCTCAGTCCCTTGTCTCATTTGTCGAAAACAGGTGCCATTACAACTCTTTTGCTAGAAATTTCCTGCTTTTATTTGAGGTTTTCTATCTAGCAAAATATTCCGGAAATAAGTACACTATCATTTTATAAGATATTGAATAAGATTATCGGTACTGTATATATTTGATTGCAAGTGACGTAACTGAGAAAAACTTGGAGGATGCTTGAGCTTCACTTTCAATAATATACAGCGTTAGCGTAATCGGAGCTCTGTCCGCACCACCTTCTGAATCGCTAGCCTAGCCTAGCTTCGCTTCTCAGTGCACACCCCAGCATGCCACATGGAAAGGAACATCTACGCGAATAATATTGCCTATTTCAAACTCTCCTATCAGACACACTGCGAGTAGCCCAGCCTAGCTTCGCTTCTCAGTGCACACCCCGCCATGCCACAAGGAAAGGAACCTCTACGCGAATATTTCAAACTCCTATCAGACACACTGCGAGTACAGTTCGAAAGTGAATATTGTGGTAGAAAGCTTCCTCTGTGGTAGAAAACCGGCCTGCCACGCAGCAGGGCTTGGTTCGAATTACACCCTGCGCGAAATTTTTTAATTAGTTTTTATTTGGACCTATCTCAAATTTTTGCTCATGAACAACGGAGACTTTACAGCGAAAGTGGTCATGAGATCACAAGGGGGCGGTAGTTGCCCGCTGCCGCTGCCAGTGTCCGTAACCGCTATTGTGCGAAACTAAAAAGAAATCAGAAAAAAATATTCAGGATGAAACAGGGTTCGAGCCTGGCTCCTCTTCATGGCAATTCAGCATTTCACTGCAGAGCCATTCCGTTTTTATTCTTTTTATTACATGCTTCTCAAAGCATCACATGCATCAATAGTTGGCACTTCCTACAGTAATAAACACAACTGCAACAATATCAAGACAGCTAACTAACATAAATAGTTACATTACTATAACTTTTTCTGGTAAGCCAGGGGCTCAACCCTAGAAAGCCAGTTTTGTACAAAGTACTGTTGCTTCTGCATGCCACTGCACCGAACCATGCTTTCGCGTAAAAGCACACGTGCAGGTTGCCTGTCAGGGTCGCCGGGAAAACCAGCCCTTCTAGCCCGCCATAGACATGTAAACCAACAAGCATTATAAAACAGCAGTCCGTCTTTGTTTTCTAATGGTAGGAACCCGATGCCAAGTGACAGTAAGAAATTTCTTAAGTTTCTTAGTAAAACATCCCTGAAATGCACCCCTTCCCAACAATGTATAAAATATATTCTCTATCGTCTTTATCTTTTTGCAGATAAGGTGCTCGAAACTCTTGCGCACATAAAGCCTATACAAGCGTTATGTTGGCAGGGGGCCGCGTTACCATACGTAATATAACGTGTTAAGAAAGTGAAATAATGAGCAGATTAGACATGTCGTAGGCCCGTGTGCTTAGATTTGGGTGCACGTTCCCAGGTGGTCGAAATTTCCGGAGCCCTCCACTACGGCGTCTCTCATAATCATATGGTGGTTTTGGGACGTTCAATTCCACATATCAATCGAAATAATGACCAGACGTCACAGAATGTGAATTGTGTTATCAGGCGTCCCATAATATGAATTGTGTATAAGATGGGCATTGTTGAATGTTTCCAAAACGCTAAAAAGGGCTCAGTCATAATTATTCATTGTCAGTCATAATTATTCATTGTCATAGCCACCGAATCAATTAATGAAGTACTGCGGCTACGTTGCAGTAATAGTAGCCCTGAGAGAGTTTGCAACTGGTTCAAAAAATGGCGCTCTTCCAGTTTTAGCGGTGACCCGTCCCTTCTTTCTCCTTTATTCGCAACATATGCTGCGCTTTCCGCGCCGGCTTGGCGTATTTTCGCTCACAACCAACGACACTGACACCGGAATATCGCAAAACCAGCTCTTTCACGCTCTCGCGTCAATGCATTGTCTCGTGTAAACGCGGGACAAAAAACCTATGAGGTACATTAGGGTGATTCTGGTGCAGTGGGGAAGGCTAAATGTAGCTAAAGTAGCCATGCCGTTTAACTTTACCCCCAAATTTGTAGCGAAATAGAAAAAAAAAGTGGCAGTGATACGAGGTCTGGGTTGCGATGGCGTTTATTCGAGGTAAGACCTCGGAAAAAGAACGACAGAGCAAGCACCCACGCGATGACGTTGGTAATGACACACGGTGACGAAGGAGAGAGAGACAAATGAATGATGGTGATTATGATCATCTAGGAATGAGGGAGAAGTAAATAACAAATGCCCACAATATATACATAGTGGTTGGTATTGAATACTAAATAACATGATTTTGTATCAGCAACAACAGTACAAAAAGGGCACAATCTCCTCGCTTGGTCTCCAAACTAACTGTAAGTTGCAAATAAGTTAATAAATTATTTTACTTTCAGTTAGCCTCCACACAGTTTCTCTACAATATACTTAGCTCTTCCGACCGTAATTATATAGTTATAAGATATAAATATAATTTTAAAATATAGTTCCTAAATATAATATTATATATAGTTCTACAAAGCAGCAATTAAAATTATGAGTAACGACAAATGAAACTACGAGGAAGCTTGTGTAGCCAGTCAGGCAACAAAGCAAACCACACTAATATTGGGCGATGCGTTGCAAACCTTGAACCACACCACCTTCATGGTTAGTGAAGAGTTTTTTTTGTATATGACCGGTAAGTGTTTGCTGCTTTATTGTGGGACAGGGATTTGAAATAGCAGTTATATACTGATATGCAAATACATTTAGGCCACTAACATAAAAGCAGAAGAATTGGCCAAGTTCATCGTGAAGTTTCTGCGCAAAAAAAAACAGACAAGCTGACAGTGGTCAAATAAAGGGCATTTACCAACCGCCTACAGAGTGTGTATTTTAAACATAACATTAATTAATAGAAAAACAGTCAGAAAGATGATACTTCTGGCCAAATTCTGAAGTTTAAAATGTTTACCCCTTATTGCAATGGAAGGTTCTATGATGCATCAAGTTCTTTTTTTTTTGTCTGAAGAGCTTCATTTATATCCCACATTACTTGATTTTTCTAACAAAACAAAACAGCAGTGTAACACAAAGCATGATAACAATGACACAGCTCACAGTCAATAGACAAGTCTGAATAATTTTATTGGCCTAGCGCATGTGGGTATTTTTTAGGCGGATGTTGAGATTTCAACAAACTTCCTTTATACACACTTTACCACATGAGAAACCAAGCATCGAATCAAACGCGAAAAATCAGAGCTCAAAATTCAATTACTTTCGTTTACAGTGTCTACAGATAAGGTCATAACAGCGTGATTTTGACCCGATCATTTACGTTAGTGCAAAGATTACCTTTAGCAATTGTATTTGCAGCGACGTGACGCTACCATCATGAGCTGTTTTTGTAGCGGTCTTTCTACTGAAATGAAAAAAAAGTGATATCTCTTTTCAATTCGTCAATATACTCTACACTGCATACGTTCGCCATTTTGTTAAATTGGCATCTTCACTAGGAGCACAACTGTGGTTTCTTTCCTTTCCTTCAAACTTTTTTTTTGTCACGGTTCAACAAAGTTTCGCACCTTATTTAACAGTAGTCACTGCCAACAGGGTCGCCTACTCATGAAAAGGAAATTCATTGAAGAATGAGGATGGGCTAGATCACACACGACATGCATTTTCAGTTAAAGACTGGCAGCTTGCCGCTCAATCTTGAAGTGTGCAATTATTGTATTCGCCGTGTACATAAGGCAGAAACTTCGGGGATAAAGAGTTGAACTCAAGAAAAACAGAGTGAGAAATGATGGGTGCAACTAAGGATACAGCAAGACAAGTGAGTGTATCGCTTGCAATACACAGGTAACGATATTGTAATTTACATTAAGAAAGAGAAATAGAGTGGGACAGCCCACGAATGCGTTGGAAGGAAAACTAGTGGTCATTAAGTGCGATAAAACACGTACCGGAATTGAAGCTGATACTGGCAGAAAGTTAGGCGACGTGATGAAATATGAAAAATTTGGAAGCATAAAATAGGGTCACGTTGCACAACACACAGAAAATTGGAGATCATTGGCAGGGTCCCTTCGTGAGGCAGTAGACATAAAGATAAGATGATGTTGAAAATCAGTGTTATAATTATTATGGGAATAAAGTAACCAAGACGACGTTCATGTAGCACCTGCAAAAACTTTCTAACAAAAAGGCTATTTCGCAAAGTTACTAACGAAAAGTAAAAATGATGGACAACAGCATCACTATTTTGCCAACATGTTCACAGCGGTGAGTGTCTCTGTTATCAGGCTTCAGCATTTCATCATCGCGTGATTGTCTAATCAGCGTAATATAGGTTTGTAGTACGACTACTTGTTTTTGCTTTTTCTTTGTTCTCGCAGTTGATCGACATGGACCACCAGTGACTTGCACTCTCCCTGTCAGACAAGAGCGCTTCAAGGCCCACCATAAATATGTCCGCATACTACCCCAACAAATCGTCCCTAATGGAACAGAGCTGGTATTTCATTGTGAACCTATCGGTGTAACGATTCTACGAGGGTCAAATACTTCCCTATGCCTTAATGGCAAATGGATACCAGAAGTGCCTTCCTGCTACGGTAAAGAATGGAAAGAGTGGGATGATATCAACATATACATCTATGCTCAAACATACATTGTCCCCGGCGGAGAAGTGTACGTGGAACCAAATACAGAAGTAACAGTGGACTGTTTGAGTTCTACGCCGGTACACTTTGTCTCTGAAACAAATATACAATTGGGTAAGTATGGAAGACTTTTCGCTACGCGCATGTTTATAGATATTTGATTAACACGTATTCCAGAAACAAACACTAATGAGGCTTTGCATGGTTCACTTATTGGCAAAGCTATTCACCTGCGCTATATATTATAATAAACGAAGCACTATAGTTGAGCGCCATGACGTTTGCCTAGCAGCACCTTCATGTAATGCATAATATACAGTTCTCTCTTAAGTCCTCGAATGCCGTGAACAAAGCCCCAGTTCCCGCATCAATGATGGCTTTGTGTTTTCTTCAGAAAGGGCAAGTTCAGTGATATTTTGGGCTTAAAATGCAGAAACTGACATACAGAGTGCCAATCACAAACAAATAAAACGCCCCAGTTTCACCACGTTGCAAGTGTGAAGCAATGAATACGACAGCAACAAATGGCGATGTTACACGAAGTGAGCCTGGCAGCTACAGAGGATCCGATTTCACGCAACTCTGCAAAAATCCTGTCTAAAAGCATATGGCTGCTTGCTGCAGGGATGCTTTTCGCACAGTCTCTTCCCGTTGAGAGCGATGCACGTGGAAGGGCATATGAGCCACCCGCTGACGGCTGCCTGAGATAGTGAGATTGTGCGCGTGCCAGCGATGGTGACCACTCCCGTAAAATCAAAGTGCACAGCTGCTGCTCCTGCACTAGCCCCCCCCCCTAGCGTCCTCTAATTTTCAAAGGCGCGGACGTTGCCGCTCTGCTTGAGCGTCTGGAGGCCAGTGTAACAGGTGGAGGGATCTTATCACATGCGCCCTTCGAGCGACGGAGATGAGATGGTTAGCTTGATCCCAGTCGCATTCGTTGTCCCAGCTCGCACTTTTTACCCATGGATAGAACGTACGATGTGCTGGGGTATTCTTATACGCCAGCGCATTGTACAATTTGGACTTAATGTGAGATATGACGCCGACAGTGACAACAAAAGCTGTCGTGATAGTTCATATAATTCCACCGCAACAACATTTATGCAAGCTTAAAACGTGAGCTAGTCGGTGTGAACCCGTTATTGCTGAGCGCAACACTTGAAACACTTAAAAAGGATTGCTGTTTCAAACTGCTGGTAGTCAAAATCTAAGCCATAACAGATGAAGCTTTAAAGGCGTAAAACGAACCATGTTTTGGAATAGCCATGCATCAAGTGCATTATAAAACACCTTCAGAAAGGGTAGATTTTCTATCATTTGTGATCCCTCAAAAGTTAACAGATTTGCTAATTGGATAGCTTTTGAATATTTGTGAACTCATGAATTCTCGAAGGTTATCCCCAGTCCGGAGGCTCTTAACAAGCACAATGCTGTAGCATAAGGGTGTTTCTTGCGTGTAGGCGCTGTCATTCAATATACATCAATCACGGAGTAGACAACCTGTACACGCTCGCTTCCGGTCATCAAATGAATACGCCTCGCCGTAAGGAGCCATTTTAGGCAAAACAATTCATCATCATGCCATCGTTACAAGGTTATCTTTTTTGAGAAATTATGTCACATTACTGTGTAAAGCCTACATACAGTTTTAAATGACTTTGGGTTCACGAAATAACTCGCCAAGCCTACTTAAGGTAACGCTTCCATTTGGGTGGTGTATACTCGGATTATATTCCATGGCTGCGGTAAAAGAAACAGAGACAAAGAAGAGATGTACGCAGGACGGGCGTAAACTTCTAACTTTATTGCGGATGTAAAGGGTAGGATATTGATGATGGCATCTCACTGCTACCACCAGTTGTAAAGGGCTCGAGGTCGATGGTAGGTACGGCGAGTTTTCTTCAGGGTAGGTGGCTTCCCGCCGTCGTCCGCATAGCCGATCTTTGCCAGTGAAGGGATGCATTAAGAGAGGTAGAACGAAAATTTATTTACATGATCGTTATAAGATGGGAACTGTACAGGGATTCAGAAGATCCTGCATTATGCACAACAGAAAATCAGCTCATGATTCAGCTCATGATTCAGCTCTTATTCACAAAATATCTTCGGCTTTTATAGCCCACCGTCTCCTTACACGGAGGACCGAAGAAAGCGGTGAGCACTCTCGCCACAAAAAAGGTGACGCAGTTTCAGTGGTCCAGCCACCAGAAAGGGAGCAGATATTGCACCACTCGGCTGGGTGAAAAGCCCAATGGTAGCATGAGCGCACCACATAATGACGCACCCGGCCACTGCATTGAAGGCACCGCAGGGTGAGGAGGTAGAGTCCGGATAGGGAAAGTTGAGCTCCTCCGGGGAGATGGTCGCTGACCCGAAAGTCAGCAGGGGTCCATGGCTGCTTTCAGCTACAGGCTTCCAGAACTTTCTTGAACATGCCAGTTCAAATGCTTGATCCCGGGGATGGCTTCCTCGACGTCTTCCCACGCTTCAGGACTGATGGTGCTTTTGTGACAATTTCGCGTCGGCGACGACAATAGCCGAGTCGAGAGGTTGACTTAATGAGACCAGCCACCGTGGCGCCAAGCTACGCTGTTCGAGCCCGTTCAACAAAAGGTTGCCTCGCCAAACTTTCGTTGAGACCCCACTGCTACCTGGAACATCTACGGGACTGCGTCTTGCAGGGTGGGTGCTGATGGGGTTGAAAGCATCCCTAGCAGACTAGCTTACGTACAATGGCGTCTGCCCAGACAAACTGCCGGGCCAAACGTAACACGGAATGCTGAAGCGAGCTTATCTATTTTGTGCTCACCACAGCTCATCCGGTGTACATCTCTTCCTTGCTTGTGTTTTTTAGAGCAGCCATGCGTTTTGTTTCTAGTATTTTAAGTTCGGAGAACTAAAGGGGTGTCGGGCTTTTTTGTGTGCTGTAGTGGGCAGTCGCCCTCGCTTGGCGCAACGCCGCATGTGCAGGATATTGAGGGCGCCTCCTTCAGATCTTCGAACGCCTCGATGGGGTTCATTTAAGATGGTAAAAAGAAAAACTACCAGTTCCCTTGGCGTTACTCAGGCCAAACCACGTATATAAATAGAAAAAAAGAGGTAGCAAACTTGACACAGAAACAGAGATAAAGGCAAAAAATAGCAAGAAAAAGAGAACGACTGAAAAAGAGAAATAAATAAAGGGAAATGAATAAAGAGAGAAGAAAGAGTAAATAGAAATAAAGAGAGAAAAAAGAAATAAATAGTATAGGAAAGAGAAAGAAAGCTGCCTTAACCTTTTTTTTCATCCCACAATTTCCTTTTAACTTTTATATTTCGTTATCGTCAACACTACGTGCACTAATTCCTCTGTAGATATATTAAGCATCCGTATCTTTTACTTCGACAACCTCTTATAGATCAAACACGAGTTGCACTGAGAGCTACGCTTTGCTATGCTACGTGCGTAATCAAGCAAATAGGATGAGTAATTGGACACCAATCATTTCAATCTATTTGCCTCTTTCAATGTGTAGGAACACTGAATTACACTTTTGAGACTAATCCATTTATGTATCAGGAATAAACGTGTGCCGTAAAAGCAGTAACAATGAATATAAATATTGCAGTTAATTATGGAAGTGAAGGACTCAGTATGGTGGTTTTCAGTAATTGTGTCCGCCTGGCTATAAATTTGTTCTCTTGTAATTCATTATGAAAAAGAACGATAGTTTTTAAAAAAAGCTTTTTTAAGAGGCCCTCAAATACTTTTTCAAGTAACAATATAATGTATTCACTATAAGAGCTTATTGCGTCACGAATTCAACGCCACAAAAATTTTAAGAATCCGACCAGTACGAGTGGAAGGACATAGATGTGTGACACGCTGCAATCTCATTTTCTCGTCTCTCGTCTCGACGAAAGTGCTGGAAGCTAAACAGGAAGGAATGGCAGGGGCAAGAAAATTACGTCACACGTGCCTTGTGACCTTGAGCCCTTTTTTTGCTGTTTTTTCCGAATATGCAGCTTTTTCAGTGTGGTTTCGCGTGCACGCGTTGACAAGTCACGGCATCCCGCGGAGATCACTGTAACGACCTAGCGTTCCATGTTCAAATCAGCCAATGGCAGATAGATAGGCCTACTGCGAGTGACGTTTGAGTGTTTTCCGTCATTTTTCGAGAAAATGCAAAGCAGTTTTCAGCTGAATTTGGTGATTCACTGCGAATTCCGGGCCACGTTTTGCACTATAACATTTGGCTCGCGTGTTATCGGGAGCCTCTACGACCAGTCGGCAGTGTTTTCTGACCGTGCTGAAAACGTGTTGCAGGGCCCGCTTAACGTTGCGAGTATAGCTGCGACAGACGTTTCACTATCTGTCTTTAGAACGTTTACTGTGTGCATACTTTTTTTTAACTGATTTGATATTTTCTTGATGATTCCTCAAACGCGTTCTTTTCAGAGCACCTAAAATTGCCTGCCAGGCAATACGGTCAGAGAGCGAAATTCCCACTTGTCTATGGTCAACGGGCAGATATTGCTTGTAAAAATGTAAAGAACGCCTCGAAGAAAATCAGGTTGCTGGGTCACGGTAAGTATGTTTGGGTTGTCTGTTTACTCGTCGATTGAACACAACTTCAGTGAAGGTTCCAAGTTCGCCAAGATGGGAGGTGTCTATATGGCTTTCCAAGTGGCATTTCAAAACCCTGCATTCGTAAAAACTTGGAATTACATGGTACATATATATATTCGAGAGTGGAAAATGCGTCAATTACTTCACCAGTGTGGAAGACTGGGTGTGTTGGTTCGTCGTACTTCAACTGCTCTTGTGCATCACGGTAAAGAAGAAACGGCTGAGCGGACCAAGTGCTGTGTCCTCGTGTGTCGGTCTCCTCGGCTGTTTCTTCTTTAATTACTGTAATGCTATATATATATACAAAGTTAAGAATGTCGACCAGTCGCAGTGCGAATCGCTATTGCAATATTAGATGCAACCTTGTTTTACAAGTCAATTCAGCAGTAAATTTAACTTAAAGACAGGGTGTGCATTTATTATTATACATTTATTACGATAAACTTCCCGAAACTCTTGCTCTAACCCTTTCAGACGCCAACTATTAAGAACTGTCTGTGAATGTGTGAAATCACTACAACGTTACTTGAAGACACTCAATGTTTATTGCAACCAAATTAACGAGATAATTGTTGAATCTATATGTGCCATAGTAACTCGTTTTAATTAAGTTGTAATAATATATCTCTTTATTCGGAAGTCATTGATGCTTACTTTTGGCATAAATATCATCTAATCTTAGGCTATAAATATTGTGCAAATTTATTTTTGGTTATGTCATTGGTGAGCAAGGAAAATTTCTGCTTTTCACCTTGCTTACAGGAAGTAGCACATCGCGCAACTCGTCAAAAGTGGTAGTGCCTTCAGAAAAGTGACGATCAATACACTGCAAAATGCAGGTAAATGAAGACAAATAATTGGTGCAGGAGGTTCGATTCCTCAAATGCACGATTTATCTTGCTCTTGATGCAATTAACAAAAACGAGTGCTGTACACGAGCGTGTATATAGAGTCTGGAAGGGCTAATTATTGGCCTTTGCGCCATGAAACACCTTTTACTGTCATTATTATCGTCTTGCTCCAATTTTCAAATGTGAAGCATTTCTGAGTGATCTTCGGCGACTTTGAGCGTATCTATCTAATCAATCAATTAATCTATCTATCCATCTATCTATCTATCCGCTTACGTTTGGGTGCTTTCGTAGTCACCCCTTTAACTTGGCGTGAACTAAAATTAGTATGGGAAGGTAGGATGGTTTGACGAATTTGACGCGCTGGTCACCACATCAATAATGTCACAATCCTGTCGCTTATGTCGTCAAACACTTACCACTAGACAGTGGCACATACCCACGGGTGGGTATGTGCCACAGGAGTAAGACAGCATCTACCCAGGAACGACGAGAACACACATGAGCAGTTCTAACGCGGAAGTGTTAACAAATACCTGGCACCGGTAGCGTCGACCCGACGAATGCAAAGAATAAATGTCAGGGTCCCAGCTGGAATCGAACCCAAGCACTTTGCATGGAAATGAAGCAATTTACCACAGACCTACGCCAGGTCTCCGAGCTACTTTTGAAACTTCGTGAAACGTCAATAGTGGTTGCAGAGCTGCCTACCCAATTTTTTGAACATTAGATACGTACTCTTTCGAATACAGCCGTCACGTCGGGTTACGTCAATTGTGGTTAATTGCCATGCACTTAAGTTGATTTATGTAGCAGTGTCCAGGGCCAGCAAACTCGCGAGCATCAGCTGCTTTGGGCGTTGCTAATACACATGTTCCAGTTGGCATCATTGTGCAAGTGCAAACAAATGGTTATATAAGCATCTGCGACTCTTCAACATATGTCATTGCGTGGAACATTTGTACATATATTTAGTGTCATTTCACGACGTGTCGCTCAATAAAAAATGAAACATGGTCACCTTCCCTACGCATGCTTCACATAACGTTGATTACCAAGTACGCGGTATCTGCCGAATTTCATTTGTGAGCCACTCTCTCAGCCGTGCGGAACCCGCACTTCTAAGAACAAGTGACTACCTCGCAAGAAAGGGCATGTTGTTCCTCAGAATCACCATGAGGATAGCCGATTACAAAACCCATTGAACGCCACCATCAAGAATTCAATGCAGGCAGCGTGGCATTTTTAGGTCTGGGTTTGCTCACACGCATCAAACCATTGACGTCGCTGCATGACTTCTCCTTATAGCCCATATAGCTTATATCGTGTACGGCTCAACAACCTCGGTTCGATTGTGCACGTTTATATTCAGCAGTAAAAATATGGTACTGGTACTTCAGAACACTAGCATCACGATATATACACGGTGTCCCACATAGCTTTAGCCAGAGTTTAAAAATATGCCCGTGAACATAATTATGATGCGACCAAATGTATGTTACTCACCCTTGCCTGGAGTTAGATAGACTATATTTTTGTGTTCTCACATAATATAATATTTTATATGTTTAATAACTAACTTTTCAAGAAACGAAGACAGATAAAAAATTTCAATGAGAAAGTTGCACATCGGTTTACAAGATGTCTGATTTGACAGTTTTGAGCTTTATATCTAATAGCTATTAGTGTTTTTCTGCTAATTATAAATGCCCGCGAAATACTAAAAATACCACGTGACAAAACCACTCACGTGTCAGTGCGCACGATGATTGTAGTGCTCCCTAACGTTCCGCGTACGAACGACACGCTTCCCTCGCATCGGCTCATGACAGCGATAAGCAGTCACAGCGGTAATCGTTTTTGTGGCTGATAGCAAACCGTGTTCGTCGTAAAGCCACCACGATCGTTGTGGCCCTGCCGAGACAGCACAATGGGAAAATGCTATGGTTAATCATACACGGAACGTTAGCGAGAACTAGAATCATTGCGGACACTGGCGCAGGATTGGGCTTGTCACGTGGTGTCTTTTTTGTATTTCGCGGGCATATGTAATCAGCCGAAAAACACTAATACCTAACAGATAAAAAGTTCTAAACTGTCTAATCGGACGTTTTGCAAACTAATCTACAACTCTCTCTTTGAATTTTTATCTATGTTTGTTTCTTGAAAAGTTAGTTAATTAAACATATCTAATTAAACAATATTTGCGAACATAAAAAATAATATAACTCCAGACAACGGTGAGCAACATGCATTTGGTCGCGTCGTGATCACGTGTTCCGTATGTTTTAAACACTGGCCAAAGTTTTACGTGGGTCATATATATATTATATATATATATATATATATATATATATATATATATATATATATATATATATATATATATATATATATATATATATGAAAAAGAAGTGTATACCTAAGCGCTCGTTTTTAAGCGTTTTGACACAATATTAATGAGATCTAACAGACAGTAATGCCAAGGAATGTACAGGGGAAGTTATTAGAACCAATGAAATGTAAAATAAGAAGAAATAAAAGTGAGTGAAAAAATAACCAGCCGTGGGCTGGAACCGAACCTACAACCTTCGAAGAACGCGTTTGATACTCTACCACTGAGCTACCAAGGCGGCTGTCCTCCCAGCCACTTTATTGGCTATATATGAGAATTAATGGTGGGAGTGTCAGTCAGCGCCCTCATCAGCCATGCCGGCGAGCATGGCAAACTCTTTTATGAGCCCGTGTGGTGTCACGTAGCACGTAAACTTCGTACGAGCTGGTAGCTGACCAATAATCTCTCGTATACAACCTAAGGCACCAAGTCTGCCAGTACGAAACCATCGTTATGAGTAGGGGAAAGAAGTGTATACCTAAAGGCCCTTTTTTCCGCGTTTTGACGCTATATTATTGAGAACTAACAGCCAATAATGCTAAGGAAAATATAGGAGAAGCTATTAGACCAAAGTGTACTGTAAATGTGAAGAAAAAAAAAGTGGGTGAGAAGATAACTTCCCTTAGGCAGGAACGAAAGCTGCGACCTTCGATATATATATATATATATATATATATATATATATATATATAGAGAGAGAGAGAGAGAGAGAGAGAGAGCATTCAGCGAAACGTAATTATAATTAACAATCTTTAAATTAAATTTATCCACTGCTGTGTGGATCACTCAACCAGCCCACATCACCTGCTTGATGCTGCACTGAAAAAAAAAAAACTTTTGTCAGCGCCTGCGAATGAGAAATGATAAATAAAATAGAGAACTGCTATTCGGTTACCATTTTTAAAAGTAGTGCTCTAATTACTCTCTGTGCGATGCCAACTGATTGAATATGTCAGTGAACCAATTTAGAGACGCCAAATCAGCTAGCTATCTTCGATTGTCTTTAACACGAAGCCGGATCTTACTACTGATATTCTGGCAGGTTTTCTGCCCTTCACAGTACTCCGCGAAGCTGGTAATGTGGAGGAGACAGTAAGAACCGAAAAAAGCCGATATAGAAATCGCAAAACAAATTTGCTGTTGAATAAATCTATAAAAACTTCTTTTAATGTTGCTATGGTACTGAGACAACTGAGGACAGCACGGGGATGATTGAACAAGAGAACGACGAGGGTTTTGAGTGAACAAACCTGTGCCGATTCAAGGTCTTGTGTGGTTTTGTCCGTGACAAACTAGTGGAGGGGCTGGGTACACGCCTATTTACTCTGACCATCAGGAGTTGGAAGCTCTCGACACGGGTTCAATCTCATTGAAACCAGAAAACCTAGTCAAAAGCCGACGGCTTCAAGGACTACCTCTGGAGTATGGCGCGTGAGTTCTACCGACGATGACGACCACAACCACAAGTCATACAGTAGAGACGTGTGGTACGGAACAGGTACATCCATCGCTGGTCTTCGACAAACCGCGATTGCCGCGGCCCTTTCATGGTGACCGCTCTGAGGACGTGGAGGACTGGCTCAATGACTTCAATCGTGCTGCCTATGTCAACTGTTGAAGCGAAAAAAAAAAGCTGGGTATGTATATTTCAGTTTGGAAGACTGTACTCGCGCATGGTTTATTAACCTTGAGCCGTCGATCACTTCCTGGCA